CTCTTAGAGCGTTCTTGGGGCCCTCTTGGGCCGTCTTGGAGGCCTCTTGGGCCGTCTTGGACCCCTCTTGGGCCGTCTTGGGGCCCTGTAGGAGGCCTCCAGGTCCTCTTAGGGCGATCTTGGGGGCCTCTTGGGCCGTCTTGGGGCGTCGCGATGCCGAAAAGGTGGAGACGCCACAATCTCCCCCAAACCTTGGGAAAAACAATGAATTTTGCCTCTTGGGGCCCTCTTGGGAGTGCTCTTGAAAGCCTCGTGGGGCGTCTGGGGGCTATCTCGAGAGCCTTTTGGGAGCCTCCTGGGGCTTCAAAGGGGCCTATTGGCGCCTCCTGGGGGCTTCTTAGGGCCGAGGGCTCGAAATGTTGTTTCGGGTTTCCCCTTCCAGGGCTTCTCTTAGAGCGTTCTTGGGGCCCTCTTGGGCCGTCTTGGAGGCCTCATGGGCCGTCTTGGAACCCTCTTGGGCCGTCTTGGGGTCCTGTCGGAGGTCTCTCGGGCCTCTTAGGGCGATCTTGGAGGCCTCTTGGGCCGTCTTGGGGCGTCGCGATGCCGAAAAGGTGGAGACGCCACAATCTCCCCAAAACCTAAGGAAAAACCGTACATGTTGCTTCTTGGGGCCCTCTTGGGAGTCTCTTGGGGCTCCTTGGCGGCGTCTTGGGGGCCCCCAGGGCCTCTTGGGGGGCTCTTGGAGGCCTCTTAGGGCGGGAGGGGGGGGTAGTCGATTGCAGCTCCCCCCTCGGAGGCCACGATCTTCGTGAGGGGTGTCGAAAAATGGCCCTCCCCTGGAGTGCTCTGGTGGCTCCTCCCAGGACCTTGCCAGGGTACTTTTCGTCCGGGGACCCCCAGGGGACGCCCCGCGCGCGCGAACTAGGAATACTGTGAACCAGTTACCGGGGATCTTAGCACGCTTCTGGCCCGTTGGTCTGGCGAACTCAGTTTTTAAAGCCGGTTTTAGATATTATTCAGAGTCATTGTCATTCAGGCCGCTCCATACTCAGGTTCGAACTGCACCCTGGGAAGTAATTGTCGCCCCCCCGCCCCTTCTGGTGTATATATATATATATATACACATATTTACATGTATACATACATATCTATACATATATATATGTGTATATGTGTACATGTGTTTCTATATATCTATACATAGACACATCTATATACGTAGTATATGATTGATCAGCTCATGGAAATTCTTCCCCAGGCTCCAGCATATCAATGTGTGCCTCTCGCCTTTGCGCCGCGCACATTCGTCTTACAAGTTCGCACGGGTGTCACGGATGGAGGGCGGATTCTCTCCAGATCTTTACAGAAAGCGGATCTCGCCATAGCTCCGCGTAGAGTCGTTTTAAAAGTTCGCAAAAGTTTCACGGATGGGGGACGGTTCCTTTTCAGAAGGCGGATCTCGCTTCAGGGCGGCGCGCTCTCGTTTTAACAATTTGCAGCATCTTCTCGAAGTGAGGGTGGGTCCTCTTTCATAATGAGCCTCTCGCCACCGCGCCGCACGCACTCGCTTTGAATGATTACAAGAGCTTCACGGACGGAGGGGGTACAGTCGGGGCGCTGAAGAAGGAATCCTTTTCATTGGGGAGGGGTTCCGTGTTCCTTAATTGTTTCGCAGTTTGCCTTAGGTTTTCCTTAGGGTTTTCGATCTGAAATCGAAGTTTAACTTGTGGAAAATAGGGGCCTCGTTCCTTATTTAGGGTTCCTTAGGTCAACACCCCGACTGTATTCAGAGTCACCAGTCTGATACAGTCAGTGTCCCATGCTCCACATCGCGTTGTGGCGAGCGTGGCGCGTGGGCACCCCGAGGAGGACCCCCCCCTGGGGGTGAGGGCACGTGCTGGTTTGCGCACAGTTTTTGTGGGGTTGTCTCGGGCGGCTTGCTTGTTTTCGGGGGAACGCAAGACCCGAGTAAGCCGGAACTCGGGCTTGCCGACGTTTTTTTGACGAGCGCGTCCTGGATTTTGACGGTCCGGTTTTCGTGGGATGTCTGCAGCGGGAGCTCGCGTCAAATTTCAGATTGGGCCTCGTCATTTTTATGATGGCCCCGTATGGCCAACCCGAGTCCCCCGTACCAGAGTCTTACGTCTCTCCGATGTTTGGTTGATTGGGTCTCTTCCCCCTCCGAGCCCCATGCTCATCGCGATGTAGCAGGCGTGGCACTTGAGCACCCCAAGGAGGGGCCGCCAGGGGTGAGGACATTTGCTCGTTTGTCCCAGCCGGCTTACGTGTTAGGTAGCTTGGACTTCAGCGCGATCAGAGCAGGTTGTGAGAATGTCTCGAGCGAAGCGCCGTTGTCTCCAGCACCCCATGTAGAAACCGCCAGACTGTGGGATGTCACTACTGGGTTGCCTGATTGGTGGCTTGGACGTGTGTGCCTCCAGAACAGATTGCGAGTATGTCTTGAGCGAGGCGCTGGCTTCAGCACCCCAGGCAGCCAGATCGTGAGAATGCATTCAGGGACGCGCTTGGTTTCGCGCCTCTGGTTCCTGTCCATTCAGAGCCTCGTGCTCAGTCCGACGCAGGGAGAAAGAAGGACGGCCGCCAAGACGGAGAAGGGAGTTCGCAGGATGAGGCAGGAATTGGAAGAAGCAAAGAGGGAGGATGAGAAGGGTGGGGGTACGACGAGTAGTAAGAGGAAGAAGAGGGGAGGCGGCCTGCTCCCCGCCTGTCTGTCTGTGAGTTGTCGTCGTCGTCGCCGTCCCTCATCGTAGCCGCCGCCGCCGCCGCCGCCGCCGTCGTCGTCGTCGTCGTCGTCGTCGTCGTCGTCGTCGTCGTCGTCGTCGCCGTCGTCGTCGTCGTCGTCGTCGTCGTATTCGCACTCGTCGTTCCCTCCGATTCTCTCTCTCACAGTGAGACACCCATAGCCACACTGTCACAGCGGGGCGTGCCGGGAAGTGAGAGGCACATGTCGGGATCCCCGCGTCGAGTGGTTTTGCTTCGTGCAGTCCCTACCCGAGGACGCGAGGCGGGATACCCAGGGAGGACCCGGCCCAGTGGTGGCTGGCGGATACAGCATGCGGTCCTCATTCGTCGAAGGCGCGAGGCGGGGTACCCAGGAAACACCGGGGAATCCTGAGGCCTGGCGCCTGCGGTACGCGGGGTTGGCGAGGCGCGCCAGAAACACATTTCTCCACATCAGACAGCCCCAACCTATCAAGTGCGGAAGTGTGAATAACACGTGCGTCGTTCCAATCGGAGCGTGGTAGTCGGTCGGCTTCTGCGCAATTGCCCTGGACGTCTCCCACAGGAAGATGCTGATGGGGTCGTCTGGCCGCCGTGGCGTCGATGTTTTTTGTGCTCTCCAAGTGCTGGTGCACGTTTCCAGTGCGCGGCGCAATGTGAGTGCCGACGGGCTCCGTAGGGATGAGTCCGTCAGGTTTTTGTCAAGGACTTGTCGTCACTCGGCTTCGGTGAAATCGAGATTGCCCCGCCACAGTCAAAGAGGTGGCGGATGTCGCTCTGGCGATGGCTTGGCCCCCCTTGGGGGCGTTGTCGTTCCCCACGCGGGACTCGTGGTGCAGAGTGTCGCGCCATCAGCTCCGCACCCTGGGAGGGTCCCGGGCTTTGGGTTGCCTGGGAGGGACACGTGAACTCACCATGACTCGCATGCATTCCCAGACCTCCTCGAGTCATGAAAAAATCACGACGGGAGGTTTTTCGCTATTTTCGGCCTCTCAGGGCCCTTACCGGGCCTCGGGACCGTCAAAAAAAGACTCGGGATGAAAAACCGGTCCCGGGGAATGGGTCTGGACCTCTGGGGGTCGCGTCATGAAAAAATCATGACGTCGGGGGTCTGGGTTCATGGAGTCGGGCATGCCGCTCTATAGGAGGACGGCTCAAACACTATTACAACAAATCCGGGGATGATTTTTCAGTATGGTTGCTGATGTTCTTCAGCACTTCTTGAGCAGGTTGTAATTTTCTCGTCCAACAAGTCCGCCTGTGTAGGCGGACGCGCCCGACCTAAGTATCAGAGAAACGAACCAGCCGCGCCCTCACGGTGCACCGGCAATCCTCGAGCAGAGGCGAGCGCAGGCACGGGGAAGAAGCAGCGAGTCGCTGAGCTGGAGCAGTGCCTCTCGGGCAGCGTGCGCCGGGAGCGCTGCCCCGAGCGGGCTGCATCACCGAGGGCGCGTCCTCGGGAGACGTCCGGCTCTCCAGCCGGGATCACGAGTAAGAGTTGGAGAGGGTAGCTATCCAAACAACGCCCCCTGTTCCCTGCTGCCCAGACCCCCCTCGAGTCATGAACAGATCATGACGGGAGGTTGTTCGCTATTTACGGCCTTTGGGGGCCCTTGCCGGGCCTCGGGGCCGTCAAAAAATTATGCAGGATGACAAGCCGGTCCTGGGTAATAGGCTGAAGCTTGCGGGGTCGACGTCATGACAAAATCATGAGTCGCCATTATCCTCGCTGTGACTTCTCCCGCTCGGAGAGCAGGGCAGCGACGTTTCGGATGTTGCGGGAGGCCTGGCTGCCAAGCACCCCTTCGATCCAACGCGCACAACAAGATTTTAGGAGCCCTCGTGTTGGAAACGTGAGTTCCATGATCGAAAGACACATCCAGATCAATGCCCTCACAGTCTGGGGGCACCAAGGCGTCATCCCATGGACAAGCGATCTCATGGATAATTACGCCCCGCGCCTTGATACCCTTCTCCTCCTCCTCCTCCTCCTCCTTCTCCTCCTCCTCCTCCTACTCCTACTCCTCCTCCTCCTCCTCCTCCTCCTCCTCCTCCTCCTCCTCCTCCTCCTCCTCCTCCTCCTCCTCCTCCTCGAGGACCGAGGTACAAGATCGAGGTCGGTCCGGGGAGGGGACCCTGATGTTCTTCGTGCCTGTCGGAGGTTCGTCTGCATCCCGGGAGGGGCATCCTCGAGGCTTCCCCAGTCTGGGCCGGCGGGGGGGCGTCTCGTGTTTTGAGGGGTGCTCTTCTGTCCCAGGTCCGACCGCAGCTCCCCGCCTCGCAGAGGCGGGCGCCGGGTGTCGGCCCGGCGGCGCGGCAGGAGGACCTGGAGGCCCTGAGGAAAGAGGAGGCGAGGCTGAAGAAGGAGATCCAAGGGCTCCCGCCAGCTGCTGCGCGCCTCTCTCAGGAGGAAAAGAAACACACACAGACACAATGAATCCTCGATTCCCCAGAAAATATGGGAAAATATGGGAGGTGGGGGGGAAGACAGAAACCCAGAAAATATAGGAAAATATTGGGAATAGTTTTATTTATGTGTATTTATTTGTGTGTCCTGGGGCCCCTTCACTCTCGGGGGCAACCTTCGGAGGGGATAGGCTCAGGGGGGGATGCATCGCCCACTCGCCGCCCAACAGGGTCCCGACGGGCCACCCCGCGCAGGCACGTGTGGATTCGCTGTCGGGGCCTACCGCCGATCTCTAGCGGCGACGTAGCGCCGATTGCAGGTCCAGGCTTCCCCCCCTGAGCCTGCCCCCACCTATAGCGTGCCCCATCCATCTTTCCTGCTGTACGATCGGGTCGAGCGAGGGCTGGATTTTGCGCGCGAACGACCCTTCGCAGGAGTGGCCCTTTGGTGCGCGGTATTCGGGGGACGCCGGGGGCGGTCAAGCCCAAGCGCGCGGACGTCGCACGCAGCGATCGGCAAGCTGCGCATCATATGTCATCCTTGCCCAGGGTCACTCTGGCGCGTAGCCAGGGAAGGATCAGGCGATCGCAAACATGGATCAAGGGGGCGTGGATTAGCGACGGGCCCCGTTTCTATGGGAAATCGTGGATTCCCGCCGCCGAGCGAGGCGGCACCGGCCGCATTTGGGGGAGGGCGCTTCCCCCGATCCATGGATTTGGCGACCGCGCCCCAAATCCATGGAGCGCTAATCTGAGGTCGGGCCTGTCCCTCTGCAGGGGGAGTATCCCAACATGGTCAAAACATAGTCTGGGGACGACGTTTCGACTATGTGTGACCTGTGGCAGGTATTTGTTACTTTTTGTTGTCTATTTGCGCGCCCCCGAAGGGAGGACGGCTGGAAGTCGCATGGCAGCGTCCATCTGGTTCTTTGGCCCCGCCGGTGGACATAAGTCAGGAGGGGAAAAACACACAGACACAATTAATTGTCGATCCCCAAGAAACTATGGGAAAATATGGGAATTGGGCGGGAAGACAGAAACCCAGAACATATTGGAAACTATGGGGATTTGTTTTTTATTTGTGTGTATTTATTTGTGTGTGTGTGTGTCCTGGGGCACCTTGAATAAGGAGTCCGAGTCCCGGGATGCATGGCATGGCCCGCCTCTGGCGCTGGGAGGCGCCGGGGAAGCCAGCTGCGTGCAGCTGATTCGCGAATCTCTCTTTCTGCTCGGCGGCGACGATAGGGGCGAATAGCCTAGGGAAGGGCATTACACGTATTCGTCCGAGAGCCTCACCGAAGGCATGGGCCATCGACGCCCTGGATACATGTAGTGCTCTCCCCTGGGCAATTCGCCCTCATCGTCGCCCCCGGTTTGCTACCTCCCCCTTGCGTCCGCCTCGATGTGAGCAGAGCGTCGCGACTCGATCGTGCTCCGTGCAAGCTCGGCGTGCTACATGGCGAACGGTCCGTGCCAGACTCACGTGTGATGGTGAGACGTGCGAGTTCCACTTGGCGCGGAACGCCTTGGTCGCTTTGAATGCGGTGCGCATGTGTATGCTTACTACGTGCAGGGTGGCTTCTAAACGTTGCGCATGTGGCACACACGCTTACAACGCACTACCGTGTAATTCATGACCCAATGCGACACCAGTAGACTATTGATTTCCTAGGCTGTTGTCGAACGCCTTCCCTGCCGCAAGGCGATCGAGTCGTTCCTGTAATCAAGCAGGCGCGGTGGATAGTGATGATGGTGTTGATGATGATGCTGATGATGCTGATGATGATGATGCCGAACGAAAGGGCGGGATAGGGAAAGGGGGGGGGGTACGGAATCTGCTGCATACATCTGGTCTCGGCCCCGCCGCCGGGCCCATTCCTCGATGCATGGGCGCCTCCCGGCGCCTGGAGGCGCTGGGAAAACCAGCTACGTGAGCTGATTCTCTACCCCACCCTTTGCTATCCCCCCCTTTCGTTACCCCCGAAAAGAGCGCGCCAGTCCTGGCGGTCCGCGTCGAGCAGGCCAGCCCTCTATCAGGGCTGGGTGGGCAGAGACGTGAGAGATCGAGATGGGAAGGACACGGGCGGCCGCCTCGGCAGCACGACGGGGAAAGAGGAGGAGGAGGAGGAGGAAGGGAGGAGAAGGAGGAGGAGGAGAAGGAGGAGGAGGAGGAGGAGGAGGAGAAGGAGGAGGAGGAGGAGCAGCAGGAGGAGGAGCACGAGCAGGACGAGGAGCAGGAGCAGGAGCAGGAGGAGGAGCAGGAGGAGGAGGAGGAGCAGGAGGAGGGAGGAGGAGGAGGAAGAGCAGGAGCAGGAGGAGGGAGGAGGGAGGAGGGACACCGCCCCGTCGTACTCTGCACGGAGTTGTCCGACCCCTCCCGCTGCCCTCCTCCCCTCTCTGCCCAGGCGCCCA